TAAAGGCAATAAGCTAAAGCTTTTGTTTCAACAGGGTAGGATATCTAGTCCATCTTTAGCAAAACTCCTGTGGACTCAAAGCTGGTATTTTCTCTGTTTTGTCATTTGCCCCTGAAAACTGTAATCTTTTCTGCATTTTTGTTGTTGGGTTAGTTTGTTGTTGATGCTTTTTCTTCCTAACCTGCATGCCTTTAGCTGGTCCCATAGTTTCTGTTGCTGGCTGAAGTCCCAATTGCATCTTTCAGGAAACTTTGTCATGTGGCCAGAAATTTATTGAGAGAACAGCCCCGCCTGAGCTGGCAGGGGAGAATGCAAATACTCATAGTATTTTCAGCCTTCTTGGGACTTCAGCAAAGACATTCACAAGTCATAAAAGTTTAGTCTGGATATAGAGCCTGTCTCGCTCGGCTTGATGAAGATTTTGCTCTTACTGAAGCACTGTTAATGTGAAATGGCACAACTTTGTCATTGCAGCTTGTTAGCCTCCTGTTAAATCCAGAAGTAAAGGTTCATATTTATTTACCTTCTGCCCATTCTCATCTGTGAGAATATCTTAACAACTCCAGGAAGAACAGAGCACACTATGATAACAGCTGTTCCGGAGGGAGTTGCAGTTGCAGTAATTTAGGTACCCAAAAGCCTTACTTCTATCAGAGATATGTAATTACTGGGGCAGACTTTAGGTTTATACAGCACAAAAGTTTAGCAAGAGATCCAGATTATCTTGTTATACTTCCGTTGATACATTTTTGTTTGTTGCAATAACAAGAACCATCTGGCAAATGATGCAGGCAAATCTTGATAAATATTCTAAATACTGTTAAAACGCATGGCTTTGTCTTAACTTGTACTGGATAAACATAAAAGCCAATGCTAGGACTTTCTGCCTATGTAAAGGTAAACTGAGTCCACAGGAGTTGCTTGGGACTTATATGCATAGTACTTTAGTTCTAAATGCTGTTGAAATATGTTGCTTCTTCTCTTTCTCCAGCTTCTGAATACCTATACAAATAATTTTTAAAAGATTCTCTGCCATTTAAAACATGAGCAAGCCTAAAACCTTTAAAAACAACTTGTATTGCTACAAATGTCAATGCCTAATACAGAAAATGAGAGACCTGTCAGCACAAGGGAGATTTAGGAGGACAGATATTATCTTGTGAGCTGGTGGAAGGACACCAAATGTCTATTCAGCCACTCTTGTCACTAGAAGAGCAGGATACGCATTGCAGGTAAATTTGATCTCAATTTGCATCTCCTTCTAAGGATCAGTGCAAACAGCTTCCATGTGTCTCCTGTTCTCTTCATAGTCCTCGGCCTCTGTGCTTGTGATCTGTACAGTCTGTGACAGCCTTGCTTCTGCTGAAACAGATTTTATATACAGAACTAGCAGTGAACAGTTTGGTTAAGCACATTGATAGAGCAGGTACTAGAGGTCTGTTGAAGAACTGACATCTGAAAGGAGCTTACTCTCTGTGCCTTGCTGGATGAAATAAAACAGAGTTCTTTCTTCTCCACGCATTTCAGTATTGTATATGACAGGGTTTCCAAAATCTTACTTGGTTCTTCAGATACATACACACAGTAGCTGTTGAATAGACCAATAGACCACAAAAGACGAGCCTATGGAAACTGAGGCTCTTTCTATCTGAGGGAAACATCAAGATGATCTGGTGAAAACCCTTATTTTGCCTTTCAGAAGACCTGTGCCAACCTTACTTTCTGCAGCGTGTGCCTGGCAGTATGAATGACTAGCAGTATTTGATTTCATACAAAATACTGTCTGCCTGCTCAGTTCTTTTATTCAATACTGTATTAAATTATGGTAAAAAGTTATGAAAATATCACAGCTGTTTGTAGAGTCTTCCAGACAACATCATCACAGAAGGGGTTATTGTCCTCAAAAAGTTTTGCTTTTTTGAGGCCTTGTTTGTAAAAATTAAAACCTTCCCAAGGCAGCTTAAGCAGTACAGGAAGAAATCACTTGAAAGAAACAGATCTCTGTTCTTTTGCTGGTGAGCTCAATCACTTGGAGCATGTTTGCTTGGTCTGGATTTTTTCCCCATGTATTCTCTGCTTCAGAACCATAGTATGGAGTTCAAAGACAATCTTAATAAATTTATCATAGCAAGGTGGGTTTTTTTTTTTCAGTTTTAAACAGACAAAAAAGCATGGAAAATAATACTTTTATTTGTACAGTAGGCTTTTGACTACTGTTTTTTACTAGATAATGTTTAACTAGGTGTGTGTAAGCACAGAATGAAGAATCAGTAGCATGCTTTATCAAATGGAGTTGTCAGCTTAAAAATTCTACTAATCATTGTTTTATGGGGCCATATTACCTTGTTAATTAACATTACTGACTTAGTCTGTGGTTTCAGCAAGGAATTGAAATGAATTCATTTTGAGGTGGTGGAGAATTGATAGTGCTTCTAAAAAACTGCAATGTCATGATTACAGAAGTGAAGGTATTGCAACAAATCTACAGACTTAGAAGAAAGAATCTTAATCAATACCTGTTGGCCAAACTCAATTTTAATGCAAGGCACCCTCCAACTCTGCCAAATTACAATGGTGTAAATCTTCTAGAAAGAAGAATAGATTGATTTGCATTGCTAGTGAATTACTGATTACTTAGGCATTACAGGTATATGACATACAGTATAAGTTTCAGTAATTCCTACACACTTTGAATGTTGCTGAAGTACCTTAGATTTAAGAGCTTTGTTGAATAGCTCTGTGATTTCTCATGTGTTAAAAATTAAGGATGTGAAAAAGAGTTTTGAAGAATCAGGGCATAATTTTCCATAATGCCACAATTGATTTCTAAGGGACTAGTTAGGGAGAAAAATCCACTTATCTAGAGTAAAGGGTGGCAGAACTCTGCCTAATATATAGAATTTTTTCAAAAGGCACTGTTTTTTATAGCCCTTGACAACCTAAGATTGCTCCCTATAATGTTGAATTCTCTGGTTTTTAGCACTGTATTTAATTTAGTTGTAAATGATTCAAACTGTGGTGCTTTTGTCACTTCCCCAGTCTATATTATAAATCTGAACGTGTATGTGTTCACTTGGTATTGCTCAATAAAACAAATAACAGCAGGCCTGAAAAAGACATCAGAAAACTACTCATTCTTAATTCCTGTGAATGATTGTTCATTTCAGTGTTATGTTGAAGTATGTAATGATTTCTGCCAAAAGAATTTGAGGTTGAATTTGATTAATGAGTACCATAATTTGCTGATGGCCCAAAGGATTTGTCTTTACCTAAATATTTTTCCAGAATGGGCACTTGTAAAATTAGATTAAGCACTTCTGTATAGTATCTATTTCAACTCCTAGACAAGTCACCCTTTTATTCAATTAACATTACTATTCCAAGCTTTACCAAGTAATTTCCCGATAATATAGTATAGACCCATTTCTCTGGCTGCAGCAATCACCTTCTGCAAGAAAATCAGCTGATAAGAAAATAAAACAGAAATGTGTTGACAATAATATGAGACCTAAAATGAGCGTGTGCATTTTTGTAAGATGAATTCTTAGATGTTCTTGAATTGTGTTTTCCTAATGAGTACCATGGGGTATTGGTCAAACTCATCATGTCTTAATTGTTGGTATCATGAGAACAGAATTACTCTTCCTATTTTTATTTTCCCTTTTTATGATTTTGCAGTTCAGCAGTCTAAACTTAAAAGGAAAACAAATATGAATTAATTTTGCCAAGTGATTCTAAAACTCATTTTAATTAGTCCCTTATACTCTACAGTTAACCTTGATTGCATTTCATATTTTAGGCTTTCTTGCTTTGTATAATGAGGAATCCGCCCTACTAATAATGTTAGTAAAATAGAAAAATAAATTGATACATTTTTCTACATTAACAGTGCAGTTTATTTTTTGAAACTCCTGTGATCAAAAAGTCTTCATATGTCAATTTTGCTAAATTTTGCCATCTACCTCTGTGTAACTGATTGCATTTCTTGATTTAAGGATTAAGAAGTCAATGAAAAAGCTACCTGAGCTGGAAGACGAAGTCAGTCTTAACAAAACACTAATCTGTGAATTTCATTACATCTGAGCCTGCTTACTGTACCTAACTGTTAAAATTTAAATGCTTGATGTATAACAGATAACAAAATTTAAACAAAATCTGTCTTGGTTTATACAAATACATAGATCTTGGAGCTCCTGTAGATAGAAAATAATGTCACAGAGATACATTAATTCCCAAATAGGGAGATCCTTTTCCCCACTTATGTCCTACCTGGTTTAATATCTTACAGAGCTTTGCAATTGCAGATCCCACCCTTGGACTGCTGCCTTAGAAACCCATACAAATTTTGGTTTGTAGTTCTGAGAGGAACTGTATTAAACCCATCATTATTGGTCAGTTTGTGTTTTATTTCTGAAGGGTTTTGTTCATTATATGTGAGCCTTAAGGTAAGAAAGTCCTGATTTAAGAGCTAGAGTCTCCTTTATAACTATTTGACTCTGCAAGAGGTCCTTAGCCAGTGCTGGGTGGTTCAAGACAACTGTGCAGTGTGAGTCATGCCAGGTGACATTTTTTTCAGACTCCTTCAGTGGTCACATCTTCCCTCTAGCATCACACAAAAACACTGGACACAGCTGGTACAGACAATGGTGTTGGGTTCTCATGGTAAAAGTCTTCACAGCTGAACTGTGCCAAAGTTCTCATGGATGATTGGCACATGAACCCTATGGGGAAAACATCTGCTCTTCAAACCAAACAGGATTACCATAAAGCTGTTGCTTTCTCAACATACAGTCCATAAAATGGAAGTTGGGTAAAGTTTATGGTTTGTTAGTTCATCTGTAGTTTGCATCTTTTCTTTCAGAATTATTTAACGTGTCCACCTCCATTCTCTTTTTCATTCTCAGGAGATTCCAATTTACTTATCAAGTTTTCTCTCTCTCTCTCTCTTTTCCTCTTTTCTCTTCTCCCCTCACCCCACCCTCTGTTTCCCTTTCATCTAGATGGAATGCCATTTGTTTGGTGGGTCGGCCGTGCCAATGAAAAGCATCTTTACTGGGGAGGATCTCTTCCAGGCATTCAACAGTGTGCATGTGGACTGGAAGAAAGTTGTCTGGATATGAGATATTTTTGCAACTGTGACGCAGACAGAGAAGAATGGTAATAAATTTCACGTGATTATAGTTGTATCTGTGTGAGAGGTGGGGATAGGAAGTAGGGCAAGAAAGCTCAGGAAGCTTGAATGGCTTGAGTATGGTCAAATGAAAATGAGATTCAAACTAGAATTTAGACTTCTGGTTTCATCTCAAATTGCTTATTTGAAACAAAGACATGATATCTGGCTGAAGCAGGTTGCTGAGATGGGTTGTTTTAAAAAATTATTTGCTGTTCAATGCCAAATCCAGTCGATCTATTTATTTAAAAGTTTCCATTGATTCAGCTGGAGCATTGCGTGAATAAGGGCTCTAGGAGGCTTGCACATGGATATACACCAGAGTAGGAAATTCAGGCATAGACAACAAAATTCAGGTACAGACAGCTAAACAACAAGAAATCTGCTCTATCAAAAAAGTTACATTGGGTCCCAAGCATTTTAAAGTCAATGGAAAGACTTCCTTTAGTTTCTGTATGCTTTGGCTCAGTGTCCATAGGAAGTTTTTAGATTTACAGCCTGAACATTCAAAGTCTTCCTTGGGTTTGGACCTTTGTGGTCTGCTGCGTGAACTTATGAAAGCAACCTTGCAACCTTCTTCCATCATCTTTACCTTCAGAGACTGTCCAGCAGCTGAGAGCTAGTTGGTGAACTTTCCAATTAATTCCATATTTGTGTTGAAGGGGACAGAAATGTCAGATGAGTGTTGTTAAAAGTATAATTTGAAACACTGAAAATGCATGTGAAAACTCTGCTTCACCCTGTCTCATTTCTGGACTCACTGATAGGAGCTGCTGCCCTTTCTCTAGAAATAAAGATATTTTAACCTTGAATAGTACGGAAATTACAAATAATGGATGTAGGCAAGAAATGCCTTGCTGTAGCAGGCTACTGTGTTTGAAATAGCAAGTGAATTATCCCTGTGAAACCTTCACTTAAAAGAGAATGAGCAGAAAGGAGCTGTAAGGGGTCTTAAAACCAAAAAAGTAATTCAGAAATGACTTGTCACTGTGTGAGGCTTTTTTGGTTGCTTGATTTCCAGACAGTGTGATTATTCTCTTGGATCCTTTATATCCCTGGAGTCACTGTTCACTTTCAAAAATCACAGCCATAAGGGGATTTCTTCATGAAGATCATAATGTAAATGTTGGTTTATGAATGTGGTTTGTATAGATATTTAAAGAGGCATCTGGCTGCGCATGTTAATCTATCTTTTCTTTAATGGTAGGTTATCAGATGCATTTTGGTGAGGTTTGCGCATGAACATGAAAAGCATCTGTTTTTTACTGGGGCTTGGCTGTTTTCATAATCCAGATTTCACCTTTCAGTGAGCTACTAAAGTGGAGCAGGGTGTGTTATGTTGGTACACTACTGCAGTTGTAGTCTGAGATTGACGAACAGTGCACTACTAGATTGTAGTAACAAATGCAAGGTGAAAGCTAAATGCAGTTTTAAAATGTTTCAGCTGAGCCTCCAAAGGAAATCAGACCTAAACGAGTTATGCTGTGGATGTTTATCTCCATTTTCACCCCACACCCAATGATTTTGAACATCTTTAGCAGAGAAAGAGGGATCTCAAAAGTATTAGAAATTACACATTTTATGAAAATTTATGCCAGGCTGAGGGGAAAAAGCCAATTAAAACCCACAAGAAGGAAGTTAAGGAAGCATACACTTTTATTAGATTTTGGAAAACCCTCATGGGAAAGAGATGTAGGAAGTCATGCTTCATTAGCTTGGCAGCGCACAGAGCTACTTGTTTCTCCTAATTTCATGATAATAACAGGATATGCATAGACATTTCCCCGGCTAAACTGCCTACTGTTTGTTGGTTTGGGGATTCAGGTGTTTTGTTTTGGTTTTAAATCCATTTGAAATTTGGACTTTGGTAGTATTCTAAATTGCAGGTTGCCTTTTTAAAAGCTAAAAAATTTTGACCTTTACAAAGATTTTTTAAGAAATTTCATGCCTCTTGAAGATAGCTTTGTGTTTCTCTGCTAGAACACTGACCCCTGATACATAATGAGCATTTGTATCTAAAATCTGCTAAGATCTGAACTGTGACTTTAACCTGCTATACATTATAGTGAAAGGAGCAATACAGGAGTAGATGCATTTATTTGCCTTAGCATGAAATAAAATGGGTGCTGCAGAGTGGAAAACCAGAAAATCATTTTCACTCCTTTTACATAGATCAGGCTGCTCACTGCAGCTGTGAGGTAGGAATTGACCAGAATAGTTGGAGTGTCCTGAGGAGGAAACAGGCGTAGGCTTTTTGTTTGGTTTCCCTAGACTAAGTCTTAAGTGCAGAAGAAGCTACTAATTTCTCAGAGTAGCAAAATAAATGGAAAATAGGAGAAAACAGACCTGAAAAAAGTCCTGAGCCAGGTGTTTGGCAGTACAAAATGCACATTTCTAGGCATGCTGAGTTTTAAATGATAATCTAAGTAGACATCTGAGACAGCTGTTATCTCTGGGCTCTTACATGACACCAAGTTGATGAATAGAAATATATGTATTATTTGGGGAAGGCTTTTGTGTTTTTCAGTTTTCTTTTTATTAAAGCATTCTAGTGAAAAGTATCTTTTTCCATCTAGCTACTCACCATACTTCCAAACCCTACAGTTTGATGACAGCTAATTTTGTCACTGCAGAATAGTGGAACATCTGAATTTTTTTTTTGGCTGGAGAATGGGAGAAGACCTCTGCTGAGGGAGCAGAGGCATAAGTTGTCACCCTAACCCAAGCAAGGGACCTGGAAAGGTGTTAAACGTGACATGACGGTAATGCATGCCTCCAAAAAGGAGAGATTCCTGACTGTTGAAAGGTCTTGCTAGTGGATGGGAAGATTTTAGAAATATAGAAATACAGTGGCCACAAGCTGAAGCTAAATCTAGTTCAGGAAATGTTTTTTTTCTCTCTTGCCCTTCCCCAACACTGAGAATAGTTAACTGTTGGAACAAGTAATGCAACATGGAGGCAAATAAAGCCCTCTTTGGATTAGTTATATTTGTGCAAAGATGTGCCAGAGCCAGGATGCTGAAACTGGAAGGGCTGAGGAAAGCAGGACAGAGAAACCCAGCCACTGAGAAGCCCAGATTTGACAGGTTTTGTTCATTCAGCAACTACCCTACACTGAATCCATTTCCCCAGAAGCAGTGGAGGCAGCTCATAAATAAACCCTGCTGGAGGTCACCTGGCTGTATAGAGCTGTCTTGGATATCTGCCTTCATGACTGCATTTGTCAACAAACTGGAAAATCTGCCTGCAGAGAGCTGACTCTAGCAGGCCCCTGAGGTGTCAGGAATCAGTTCATTACGATCACTACCAAATTCTTTCTCTTTACCTATTCTCTAATTCAACAAAATATAGCCACTGCATCTTGCCTTCAACTGTTAGGTATGTCCCCTTCTGCTGCTGTTTTTAAATTTACTCTGTATTCTATGTTATTGTACCCAGTAAAGCATTTTTTGGATGCAGCTGGTGGGTAAGACAGCAATTAAAATTTATTCATTTGGATTATTAATGATACCTCCTGCATAGAGCACAAAACTTTTTCTGATGGAAGTCTGCTTCACTAGCCCTTTCCTCATGTGGTTCATTGACATCTGCTGATGATAGTATTCTTTTCCCCTAATGTACTGTATTCATGAAAATCTGCAGTGAATATCTGAGCTACTGAGGCTCAGACCCCACCAGTTTTCATTAATGTACAAGAAGAAAGTGTACCAACAGGAGATCATGCAAGAATAAATTATATTTAATGGCACCACTGCTCTACTATCTGTTTAAAATATACAGACACAGCTACCTAGAGATTACCAATTTACAATAGCTTATACTGTTAGGATACCATAGAGTGAGAACTTTTTGACCATGCTTTTATAAGTAGCCAGGAAAAAGACAAATAGTCTCCTAAGGTTACTGTCAAAATAGTTATTTGTCATTTACAGGTAAGACTCCCTGTGCTACATCTTAAAGGATCCAGTTGCTGCACTATCACTGCACTATCATTGCTGCATTTGCAGTGAATTTTTTTTTTCCTTTCCCCCTCTCCCCAAACAAACAGAACATTTGTTTGATGTGTAACATGCCTCACAGCTTATTGAGGAAGGCCTTTGGGTAGATACAGACATTAATCCTCAGACATGGATAAATAGATTACATGCAACTGTATTTAATACCCATAACTAAAAATATTTCAGTTTTTTAATTTAAAGGGCATTATTGGATTTGTTTTGTTTGGGTTTTGCTTGTGGGAAGTACAAATTGTTATCACCCTTTATGCAAAGAGTTCAGAGAAACATCTGTTTCTTGAGGGTGCTTTCCACCCTCTGAAATATGTTCAGATTTTAATCTAATTTATGCCAAATTGAGTACCAAGTTAGATAAGCAGAAAGTCTACTTCCCAAGTTTATTAATATATTTATACCATTTTCTGCATGTACAGGACTCCTTTCAGGAATGTGATAAAACCTGCTTTGATTTTTGTGAACTCGGGACTTAACTTTACACCCTGGTCAAGGAGCAGCAGGACCAACCTGTAATTCTCAATACTGAGAAGCAGGGCATAGCATGGTACAAAAGGCATGCTTGGTGGAAGTGGCTACAGAGTGCTATGTGAAACCTGCTAAGAAAAATAAAGTAATGGTTCTGGCTAACCAGAGAAACAGCTATGGAAAACCAAATAAAATCTAGTTTTAAACATATGTGAACTGCTAAATTAAAATACATATAAGTAAAAACTTTTTATTTGAAAACTGTAGTACAGTCAAGTGATCTCCAAGCCCCCTTCAGGCAAAATTCCAAATGCTTTGTCCAAAATGTGGAATATTTGTATTTTGTAGTGCCACAGCAGTGCCTCTGGGATATTATTTTACAGGTACACAGTCCTCTCTGAGGCGTAATACACTGTATTTGAGAGGCTGCCATTGAGCACCAAGTAAAGGGAAGAGGAATTGTGGTGCTTTGCAAGAAATGGAGTCTGAAATAAGTTTAACTTCAAGAATACCAGGAATTTAAAACACTCAAAATTTAGCTCCTGTGGGGGCCTGCATCATGTTCAAACCTCTTTTCTGCTTTTCTTAGTTGAAACTTCCTGACTTTTTTATCAAAAACTCGATTTCCCACCATGAAATAATAATAATAAACTGCAACAAGAGATACATTGTTCCTGTCACAAACACATTCTTTGAAGGGCAGAATGTTTTCCTGAGAGGTTTTGTTTCAGTGTCTGCTTGTATGAGAATATCATTACACAATTCTTTTCTATCACATGTGAGAGGATAAAATACATAAAATGCACTGTTTGAGATTCAAGAGAAACTTGATTGAGTTTTCAAGGCATTAACATAAAAGTGAATATTTTTATTAGTTCTAGAATATTTTTTTTTCTCACAGTTGAGCTACGTTACTAAAGTTATCTGTGATACTGGCATATAACCAGTAAAAACTCTGAATCATAAAATTCTATGTAAAATAACTTCATGCAATATAACAGAATATCCAATGAGGAATGCAGTTCTCAGAGTTGTGGAATAGATACCTTTAAAATGTCACCATTTCATTTTTTTTTGTAGCTATCTTCAGTGGTAGCTGTAGAAAGATACTGACTTTTATTTTAATGCTAATCGTAGCTAGTCAAAAGACTGCACCATTTTTTGAATGAAAATAAATTTGCAGGGAACCTCGAACCTCCTTAAATATTTTGTGGATTTTTTTTTATTATTTTATTTTTCTAAAGCAAATGCCAGCTTACTTATTCATGTATTTATTGCATATTTTGTATCCTTTCTGTGCATCTTTCTGCCTTTTATTCATTCACATTCTTCTTACTCCCACCTACTGAAACACTTTATTTAATTATCTTCCTAAGAAATAAATAGTTCAGCTTTTGTTTCTACTGTTTCATGATCTGTTGAGAGCATTTATACTAACTTTCAAAGGCTGATACAATAAGCTATATGAGTATGCTGCTGAGAGACCTCCATGAAGAGATTTGGAAATCATGTACTTTTGATTCATACTTAGCACTTTTTCTTCTGAGCGTGTACTGAAGGCATCACTCTGCCTTGTGCCTGGGAATTTCATCTGGCTGCCTTTTGTCTGTGATTATCTGCATGTCAGACCCCCGCTGAAACAAGAAAAAAATGGTAGCATCAGAGAGGGTACCTTTTGTTTTCCCCTTGGAATTATGAGAAAATTAACTGTGCTGCGTGCAACTAGAAACAAAGCAAAATGAATAAAATGTATGCAACCTTTATAAAAAATATCAAAATATCCCTTCTATTTTTTCTAACATTAAACAGAGTAGCACACTTAGCCAAGCAAACATCTGTCATAGCACAGCTGCAGTGTTCTTCCTGATTATTATTTCTTTGCTGAAGTCCTGTGTCCCTTCCCATAGCTAGAACTATAATGAGAGGTATGTTTGTGGAAGGTGTTATTACGTGCAGCATATAGGTAGTCTGGGATCCTGCCTGGAATGTCAGACTCTTTGGCAGTGGTATCACTCAAAAAGTGATACCTGTTTCCTGAGGCTTTTTGTCATAGCTGCCTGAAAGAGCAGTGGATGTAAATTTGGGATTATTGCAGAATGTAGTCTTTGCCTCTGAGCAGACAGGTGAGTTGAGTCCAGACCCTGCATACAGATTGCTAAACCATGCAGATGTAGGGATCTGTTTCTCAAAAACTATTGAGATTCAGCTCCATTAAGGATGTGCTGCCAAGCCCAAGTACAGCAGACCTCAACCCTGAGAAAAAATGCTAGGAGGAGGGAAAACTCATCACTGCAGAGGTAAGATATGGCAGTACCCTCCTCTCTATAATCTATCAATTGATAGAGTAGTACCTCAAGAGGGCAGTTTGGTTCTGGTAAGGTCAGGGTTGTATGCCTGAGGGACTCAGTTCAGTTCATGAAGTACAGTGGGATGAATGCACATTTGTATACCCTGCCAGAGTCAAAGCTGCTGAATCAGCTTAGGGAACAACAGCTGCCATGAAATGCTGTGCTTCATTTTGAGGACAGCAATTTGCCCAGCACACACAGAGTGAAAATAAAGAAATTATCCTTTAGGAATCTCTTTTTTCCTCTTCCTTTCTAGCAGCCATGTGTAAATTAGTCTAAGCTGAAGAATAAGCACAGCTGACACAAACAAGAGACTGTAGTTCAACAGTGCTGTAACTCAGCCTACAGTATTTCAGTTGCTGAACCAAAAGTCACAGAGGCACGTAATGTGAAGGGCTTATTCAGTCTGAAATCACTCTGCCGATCCAACTTTGCGGTGTGCTGAGTCAGTTGTGTAGCAGCCATCTTGCTGTTGGATTGGATACTGTCTGGCTGCCCTGTGCTAATTACATGCTGGATCTGGTATTGTGTCACCTCTTCTTGCTCAGGCAAAGCATAAAGCCAGCAGAGATGTCATTATTTGTCTTCAGCTAACCTAACAGAAATTCAAACTTGGACTTAAACCTGATCCACATCAAATTCATTCTGCTGAGGAAAGCCAGGAGAGCCTAGTTTACGTTAATGCCCATCAGGCAGAATGGCATCACTCTGCATCAGCTTCACAATCAGTTGGCACAGCTGAAACAGTTACAGTCCATATCTGACATTATCATGTATTCAAATACAGTGTCTTCAGTGGCCAGAATTATGTATGAGCGTAGAACATACACATGCTGCACGTATGTGTCTTAAGCAGTGTGTGCCAGTCACAGTTCTAGGCAATTCTGCAAACGACCTTCCATCCTTAAGTAAGCATTTTTCAAATACAGCCTTGCATAAGGAATGCTGGGAATTTTGTCTGTGGTTAATCTGTATCCTTCTGTTTATTATAATCCAGGACAAATGACACTGGCCTCCTTGCTTTCAAAGACCATTTGCCTGTAACTCAGATAGTGATCACTGACACAAACAGATCAAATTCTGAGGCTGCTTGGAAAATTGGCCCTTTGCGTTGCTATGGAGACAGTGAGTAGTCATTCTCAATTTCCATAGGTACAGAATGTTCCCTCTTTTTGTTTTGTTGTATTTGTTGGGTTTTTTAAATGTATTTATCTGATGAAAGGTGGCTTTTCCACATGCAGCTCACAGCTGCTGTTCTGCGCCAATTAACTATAGAGAAGGGCGTTGTGCTTTCAGGGCAGTTCTGGAATGCTGCTTCTTTCAACACGGAGGCCTCCTACCTGCACTTTCCCACCTTCCATGCCGAGGTCAGTGCAGACATCTCCTTCTTCTTCAAAACTACTGCCGCCTCTGGGGTGTTCTTGGAAAACCTTGGGATTAAAGACTTCATACGAGTTGAAATAAGATGTAAGTTTCACCTCCAAGAAATCTTAGTGTATTTGCATGGTTTGGCAGGTGCAGGGAAGTGGGAAGGACATATTTTCTTCTGTCTTGGAATGGTGGGAGATGCCTGAAGAGGATAAGATGGAGTCATATAGATACATTAATCTAGACTTATCTACATCTCCTGTCAAAGTTTCCACCCAAAGTGACCACCTTGGTCATTACACTTAATCTAGTTATAGCTAGGTTTGTCTTTCTTAACCAAAGAGGTCACTGAAATTACTTTTTCAATTACATTTTTCCCCCTCTTTAAAAAAAAGGCTACTGGTTAGATGTACCTGTAGATTGTAATTTTAGTTGAAAAAAACTAGTTGAAAAATTTAATACAGTCACTCTGATATTTACTTTTATTTCTGTATAGTAACATACCCAGTCTGATACAGCTCTAGTGTTTCAGAGAACTCGGTGTGTGTGGTACAGCTGTGAGGTGAGAGTCTATGAAGGACAGGATGCTAATGCAAGATAAGTAACACTTCTAATGGGCCTTGAATATTTCAAAATCTAGTAAGTGACTGAAATATAACTACTACTCAATCTATAAAGAAGAGCAGCAGGGAACTTAATTAGTGAGGTTTTGCCTGACTTCAAAAACTTATTAGTTACAAAACAGTACTGTGGCTTTGACATGAAATGTGACTTCTGTATTCTAAATTCTGTTAAGCTTAGGAAAAACAAACTGAGCGCTATGCATTTTACAAGATGCTTATAATAACCCAAATATAAAATTTAATAAAACAAGGCCCCAAGGCCCTTCAATTCATTAAAAGATGCTAAATGCCATGGTGTGTTATCACAAGGTAATGAGATATGATTTACTGTTAATTGCACATCAAAGTCCAATTTGGTTGTACTTTAGTGTACTGCATTTCATTCTCAGGGATATAGAAGTAAAACGACATTTTGATATCAAATATTACAAATACTGTAAACTACTAAGAGGATTGTTTAGTGAAAGCTTTTATATGTGTGTTAAATCTCTACTCCTAGAAAAATGAGTTCTTAAAAGTCTGGGGAAAGTCTTTTAAATCTAGGTTTCTTATTAGTAGTTTGGTGTTGTGTTTCTTGCTTCCAGATGGAATTTGCAGCCTAAAGGCCTTGTATCAAGGAAGCTGCACAGACCAGCTGCTTCATAGGAAAATGGCCTTTTAGCAGATGCAGAGGCTCAGAATAGATCTTTGTATATTCCTATGGAGTGTTTTCTATCTTAACTATCTAAGAAGCAGCTTCAAAACCAGGCCTATCCAATTTGTTGGGCTTGAAATAACAGTTTTTTATAAATTTTCAATCCGCAGCCTCTGGTTGTGTGGTCTGTGGACCTGGGTCTTGGTCTTTCTGGTATATTTAGTGTTTTAGGAAGAGGAAAAATAGTCAGTTGCATGAATGTTAAAAAGTTCTGTCTCCTGTCAGGCTTCCGACAGAGGGAATCCTCCCTATATGGATGTTGGGTTTCAATTATGGTCCTGTTTCTAGGAGCCCCACTATCTCTGGATATGTGTTACGGATGCCTTTTTAGTTTTGGATCACAAAAAAAAAAAAAAAAGGTCCAGCTTATTCAGGCAAACAAATGCTTCTAGGATTCTCTTCTACTATATGCAGCCACGTTCTGTAATTGTTAAGTACATGCATTTGGAAAGATTTAGGCAGAAAGAGCTCCTTTATCCTTTCTTTCATCTTATGGTTATTTGTCAAAAATCTTTTGCTACCATTGTGTGACTTCTGTACAGCTTTTGGCACTTTTTGAAGTAAAAGAGAGCTAGTATTTCTAGAGCACTGCAATTGTTATAGAAAAGATGGGTACACACAGCCAAGCATAATCACAGGAGAGATCAAACAGTGAGGCTGCAGGCATAGATTTATGTATAAGTTGCTGTGTAGATGGGAGGTAAATGATGCTGTACTATTTGCTGACATAAAAGTTAATGGACCCTACACTTATGTAAGGTTTCTTGATGTCAAAACTGTAATTTAATTCAGACCTTCACTTCCTGTTCATATCTATTTATCTATTCCAGCTCCCAAAGAGATTGCCTTCTCCATAGATGTTGGGAATGGCCCCAGAGAAGCCACCGTGCAGTCTCCTGCACCCCTGAATGACAACCAGTGGCATTATGTCCGAGCAGAGAGGAACCTTAAGCAAACCTCTCTCCAGGTGGACAGCCTGCCCAAGAAGGTCCTGGAGGCACCTGCTGAGGGGCATTTCCGCTTGCAGCTCAACAGCCAATTATTTGTAGGTAGGCACCATGTAAGGGTTTCTGTAGATATATACGGTATTTCCATGTCCATACCTTGGTAATGCTATTGGTTCATTGAGCTTGCATGTGGTGACCTATTGTTCTTTCTCTTCTTCCACTCCTGTCTAGGCAACATAAAGTAAATCCAGACTACTGCATTTACACTTAAAGCCCTAACCATAGCTTGACTATACTAGATGTATAATGTTTATAAATGTATAGAGATGTTTATACTAGATGTATATGTTTAGGGTCTAAGATTGCTTGAAACGTATTTATGGCCAAGGAATTCTAGTATTTTTTCTTGTGCATCACTGAATCTGTAACTTGCTGTAGGAAATGTGATCTCTCTTTTTAGATGCAATGTAAAAGGCACAAATTCATCATAAAAACTTCTGGGGCAAAGGCTGATGATGGTGTGGTCTTAAAGTCTGTTCCTTCAAGCATGCCTGCCAAAACCCTTATTTGGCCATAGAGTGCATGTATGAGAGAAGTATGAACACAGTCATAGCAAATACAGTTATTTTAACTGAAGGCGACCTTTAAAACAAAACAAAACAAAAAATTATCCATTTGCATATACTTTGTTTCTCTACCTCCCTTGCCAATGAAATCTAGATTGGGACTATCTTGTATTTCATAATATAATCAGGAATAACAAAGGGAATTTTGCTTTTTCTTTATTCAAACACTGTCTTTCTGAGTAATCTTCTCAGTGATGGAGTGGGTTGTAACCTGCTGCTTATTCAGGGCCACTAATGTAACTACTGATTCTTTCCATAAAATGGATTTTCTTAGCTGAAATGCTACAGCAAATCTTGATCTGTCAATTAATTTTAATAAAGTTTACCTGTGTATCCACACCCTTTGATTTAAGAAGATTTTGGGGTATTTATTGGAGCTGTTTATTGTGCATGTGTGCAGTAATTATTGGGCTCTAAACATAAGGAATTAATCTGTTAATTAAAAGATATAGCTGCATCAATGGCCAGGACCCCTTCACACATAGATATTGATTTATACCAAAAATGATCTCTGAAAGACTCGGTCAGAGGAAAGTTCACTGAAGAATTCACAGAAGGGAGGCTTAAGACTGTCACAGTGAAAGGTTTCTGTTTCCTGGTGTGAAGCATGCTTCTAATCACTTGTTTCTTAAATGCCAAAATGATGCTAAGAACATGTTCTATGGGAAGCCAGGCCTGAAGGCAATAGGGTTGAACTGCTAGACACTTCAGAAGCATTAGAGAAATCTAACCAAGGTACTGTTTCCAGTTATAAAATGTAGACAGTTTAATGACTGGATAGGCTTTTGTACATTTTTCATTGTGACTTTTTAAAGAAGTAAAAATGAAAGATTTACCGTAAGTCACCAATCAGATATATCAGATATTTAACTGCTTACTATCTCACATCTGAAAAGCAGTGTTTCCCTATAATCTTGGTTTTCTGCCTCAGCAAAATAAACAAGTTCCCTGAACAAAACTGATGGTGGTTTTAAAGTGACACAATCAATGAATTGCATCATGGAAATCCATGACAATTAAGGAACTCAACAGAGAAATGTGCCAACAGGAACACTTGTCAGCAAAGACATATGCAAAGCCCTGCACCAGGGACAGAATAGCATCATGTATCCCTATAAGCTGGGGATTGAGTGGATGCGTAGAAGCTGTGGTGCAGAAAAGGTCCTGCTGTTTTTGGTGCTGAAGTTAATCTGTACCTCATCTGAATGAAGCCATGCTTTGGGGAACAGATTTGTCCAATGGATCTGCAGCAGTGACTTCCACCAAAATTTTTCTCTGATTGTACTTAATATTTACAGCAAACTCTAGGACATAGTTACTTTATCTCAGCCAAGAGGTGAAAAGTTCTCACTGTGCGCTAAATATATTGCATTCAATTGTCCAATCTACACTTTTACTGAACCCTGAAAAAAAGGGACAGAAAATCTAATGTTTTCAGGAGTGCTTTCTTCATCCCTTAGCTCTACCATACTGAAAGCCAAACTTGTTCATGACTTCAGAAGAGATGGAGACCTGGGCAGCCTCCTGATTCTGACACTGTCACTGGGTGCTCCAGGAAAAGGTGGCAGAAGTCCAACAACACACAGATGTGTCACAATTTGTCTCTAGTGATGGTCTCATTCCATTATCTAATAGGAAGCAACTGATTTAATACCTCAACCAGGTGGAATGAATTTTATCCATCTGAAAAACAAATGCGTAAACAGCATTGTAAAAAGGAAAGAAGCAGCAGCACATAATATTACTCCCTACTCCCCCTATAATCCATAACATATTTGTTCCTGCATCATTCTGCACACTGACGCTGATGAAGGGGTTTCCAATCTAAGTGATTCTATGTGGCAGGCTTCTGAGATAGCTTTCTGTGTGTGCAAAGTGGAAGGGAGAAATGACTTTTTGCTGCCAGCACACTCAAAATCAAACAAGCTTGGATTTTAAAGCAGCATAGAAGAGTTAGAAAATCGTTTCTCACTTTCTTTCAAAGGGTCTTGAGTATCTAACTTCTTTAGGCTGCTTTATGATCCTCAGTCACAGCATGGGTATCCTTGCAACAAGCTATGCTTCTTCTGTTAATTTTAAAAAATTACAGTAGAAAGAGCAAATCCCAGGCAGACATAGAGGCTAGATAATATTGACTGCACCAAACTTCCCAGCAGCAGGCCAATTTGCAGATTACTGGCAGAATCATTCCTTTCAGTGGATGGTGGCTTTCAGCATTCAAAATGAGTGACATCTTTTTGAATAGTTTACCTGTCTCCCAGTATGTCCCTGTCCTCCTCGAGGAGGTGTGTCATTGTCTCCTCTCACGTAGTGGAAAAGGCATGACCATAACACTCCAGTAGGAGGAGGGGAAAAGCAGTCCTCGCAGACTTTTTGGAGAACAGGATTTCCATTTAGACTGGTAACGTCAAAAAAGCAAAATACAAATCCTAAGAAGTTAATTTTATGCATAAAGCATTTGATCAGAAGTTTCTGTGATATTTATTTTGTATGTTAAAGAGACTAGCAAAGTTAAGTGCTTAGGCTCCTAGTTTTGACTTGGGAGCAAGGGAGCAAGGAATTCTTAGGTGAATCACAGACCAAATGTAACATACTCCAGAGTTAACATCTGAGAAACTTTCTTGGGAACAGAGAAAAAGAAAGAGAGCAAAAGAAGTGGCATACTTTGTTTACTGTTGTTACTTTTAAAGGAGTCTGTAGACACTTTGGGATATTTTGGAGGCTAGGAGGAAGAATTAATCCTTGTGTATCCTGACAGCTTTGTGCAGCTTTCAGTTTGAGACTACCAAGTGTGACTTAGATGTTTTCTGAGGAATATCATAGCAAGTTCTCCTACTCCTAAGTAATAATAATTGATTCTTGTACTCCCATGCCCTTTCCTTTGTATCAGTTACGTAAATCCAGAATGCTGTTTCAGCCTCCCTAATCCAGTTCTTACCAACAAAAAGTCCTTTGCTTTTTAAAGCAAATCCTCCATGCATTGATAGAATGTTAATTATTTAGCCAAATGTGTCACCAAGATATATTGTGAGTGCCCAGTTGTGAGCTTCTTGCTCCCTTCTCTGACTCTCTATTTCTTGCCCCAAGGCTTCTCAGTAAAATTTAGCTACATAAAACAGCATGGTTCATTTGACTGTCACCTCCACTCAGCAAGAAACGCCCTTAACCTCGGTGTTTATGGTCCTGAGGCTTATCCTAAAATCTGTTTTCCTGAACAAAACATTTAGGTCATATCCATTAAATTGTCCAGTCCAAACGGTCTCTTAGAGTAGGAAGAATTTGTAAAGCCTAATTTGGGGAATAATTTTGTTTTGTTTTCATTTTTCTCTGATTCTCAGGAATGTATTTAAAGATTAGTTCTAATCAATTGAAGAAAACTGTTCAGATGCCCACATAATAAACAGATTTGTTTGATCAATACTGTGTGAATCTAGGATTATTTAGATGGTCTCCATTAAGCCCCACACTCTCCAGACAGAAAAACTGAGAAACTTATTTTACATGGTTTACCAAAGTGCTTTAGAGAGCAGGAAGAATTTGGGTAGTGCAATAAACATTACACCTGGGAAATAGTTAGCAATAGTTTGTACTTATTCTCTAAATGTTACAGCTGGGATTTGTATATGTGCAGAGAGAAGAGGCAAGAAAACTGTCATTTATGCTTGTGATATTTGTGGTAACCTCCCATGCAAAAGAAAACAGAGTAGCTAGTAACCTTAAAGGGAGAAATCACACTTCTGCTTATTTGAACATTATTGGAAAATCTGTATGGTATGTTTGGCTTTGCAGCAAAATCTCCAAAGAAAATGATTGTGTGTACACAGTGCGGCAAATGCAGAAGTTCCAATTCTTGTGCTCAGATGACCTTTAAAATAAGTGAGCTAACATTTTCTTACCTGAAAAGAATAGTTGGCTAAAGAGGAATTTGAGAGTATTTTTTTGTCTGAGAAAGGCATCATAAAATTAGCATGAAATAAACCTGTCTCATGCATACTACCTGTAGTTCAATTATTCTAATTCAAATCTAGTTTTCCTGCTATTAGTGTACCAGAAATTAAATATACTAGAAAGGTATAGCAGAACAATACGGATTTGGTAAGATTGCTTTTCAGACTGTTGCTTCATTTTCTTAGTTTGCAGAAGTCTTGCTTTAATTAAACAGTTTACAAAAAAAAAACAGATGCTCTTCTGCAAAGATTTAGCAATATATGTAAGCTCTTATCTCATGCGTTTTGATATAGAACCAACTTCTACAGGAGAATAATTTGGAAAGATAGCTTCTTTCATACTAATTTTGTAGTAAAATCACCAATAAAGCTAGCATTTCAGAACTACAAATGCTGATAACTTCTGAAGCAGAATTAGATTTCTTAGCAGCAATCAAAATTGCAGCATCTTCAAAAGCAAAACATTGGCAACTGCCAAACAAAGCCTACAGTAAGAAAAATGGTGATATTTTCACAGACTAACAATCATTATTAACATCATTCTCAGAGACCATCTCTTATGGAAAAAGTGTCTTCATTGTAACACTTTTAGCAATTTCATTGGGCAGAAAGACTCTGACCACACCACCCAAGTCTTGGAAGGCAGATGCAGGGACTGCGAGAATTAAGACCTTGGGCCCACTGTAGGAGAGGATCTGGTTTGAAACCATCTTAAAAATCTGAACAGGCACAAGTCCATGGGTCCTGATGAAATCCATCCGCGGGTCCTGGAGGAGCTGGTGAATGAAGTTGCGAAGCCGCTGGCCATCATATTTGAGAAATCATGGCAGTCAGGAGAAGTTCCCGATGACTGGAAAAAGGGAAGTGTAACCCCCATTTTCAAGAAGGGGAAAATGGATGACACGGGGAATTACAGACCAGTCAGTCTCACCTCTGGGCCTGGCAAAATCTTGGAGCAGATTCTCCTGGATGGCATGCTAAGGCACATGAAAAACAACAAGGTGCTTGGTGACAGCCAGCATGGCTTCACTAAGGGGAAATCCTTCCTGACCAATTTGCTGGCCTTCTATGATGAGGCTATGGAACTGATGGACAGGGGTACAGCAGTTGATGTCATCTACCTGGACTTCTGTAAAGCGTTCGACACTGTCCCACACGACATCCTTGTCTCTAAATTGTAGAGACATCAATTTGATGGATGGACCACTCGGTGGATAAAGAACTGGCTGGATGGCTGCACACAAAGAGTTGTGGTCAATGGCTCAATGTCCGGCTGGAGACCAGTAACGAGTGGCGTCCCTCAGGGATCGGTGTTGGGACCCAGTCTTGTTCAACATCTTTGTCACTGACATGGAGAATGGGATCGAGTGCACCCTCAGCAAGTTTGCCGATGACACCAAGCTGTGTGGTTCGGTTGATACGCTGGAGGGAAGGAATGCCATCCAGAGGGACCTTGACACACTTGTGAGGTGGGCTGATGCCAACCTCGTGAAGTTTAACCATGCCAAGTGCAAGGTCCTACACCTGGGTCAGAGCAATGCCAGGCACAGCTACAGGTTGGGCAAAGAAGAGATTCAGAGCAGCCCTGTGGAGAAGGACTTGGGGGTGTTGGTTGATGAGAAAATGAACATGAGCTGGTTTCAGTGTGCGCTCGCAGCCCAGAAAGCCAACCGTATCCTGGCCTGCATCAAAAGGAAAGTGACCAGCAGGACGAAAGAGGTGATCCTGCCCCTTTACTCTGCTCTTGTGAGACCTCACTTGGAGTATTGTGTGCAGTTCTGGTGTCCTCAACATAAAAAGGACATGGAACTGTTGGAACAAGTCCAGAGGAGGGCCAGGAGGATGATCAGGGGACTGGAGCACCTCCCGTACGAAGACAGGCTGAGGAAGTTGGAGCTGTTCATCCTGGAGAAGAGAAGGCTGCTTGGAGACCTCATAGCAGCCTTCCAGTATCTGAAGGGGGCCTATAGGGATGCTGGAGAGGGACTCTTCATTAGAGACTGTAGTCTCTAGGACAAGGGGTAACGGGTTAAAACTTAACCAGAGGAAGTTTAGATTGGATATAAGGAAGAAGTTCTTTCCTCTTAGGTTGGTAAGGGACTGGAATAGTTTGCCCAGGGAGGTTGTGAATGCTCCATCCCTGTCAGTGTTCAAGACCAGGTTGGACGAGGCCTTGGGTGATATGGTTTAGTGTGAGGTGTCCCTGCCCATGGCAGGGGGGTTGGAACTTGATGATCTTAAGGTTCTTTCCAACCCTAACTATTCTATGATTCTATGATTTTGTAGAGATGGAACTGCCCTCTTGGGTAGACCATCTTATTCTTTAGGAAAAAATGCGATTATGTTTCACAATTGTAATAAATAACAGAACTGTGACCTGAACATGTTTCTTACCTACAGCAACCATTCACATGCAACATCAGGTTGGGCAGTCATGCATAAATTCTGACTCATTTCCCTTCCCCATTTCCCAATGCTGAACATGATTCATCCCCACTATATGGACTCATCAGCTTGTGTGACTCAGCTGTTGTTGAGATTAGAGTATTATTTATCCTCTGTACTGAGGCAATAAATAGGAAAAAAATATTTTATGTTTGGATTTCTCATGTATTAGGTGATATGCAGACATACGATAAAGAAGCTAATCTTTTTTCCAAATGAATTTGCATTTCAGATGCCAGACAGGGCAGTAGATAAAGCAGGAAAGAAAAGAATGGCAACAAGAAAGTGTCACATACAGCTTTTTAGTCCTTTCATAATGATAGAGACCTTTAGTTTCCAGGGCTGTCCCTCTGTCATCTTCTGCCACTGTATGCATAGGCATATAAGAGAGAGTACTTTTTAAAATTCATGGATTTGTATTTGTACCTCTGTATTGGGCTTCAGGGCTTTTGTTGCTGTGCAGACTCACCAATGAATGTGTGTCTTTTTTTTCTCTCTTTTTCAGGGGGAACAGCTTCCAGACAAAAGGGCTTTTTGGGATGCATTCGATCTCTGGATTTAAATGGACAGAAACTTGACCTTGAAGAGAAAGCTAAAATGACACCTGGTGTTAAACCTGGATGTCCAGGACATTGCAGCAGTTACGGTAACCTCTGCCATAATGGAGCAAAATGTGTGGAGAAGTATAATGGTTACTCCTGTGATTGTACCAACTCAGCATATGAAGGACCTTTCTGCAAGGACGGTAGGCAGCAAGCTTTGAGCCTAAGTCCTTAGTGGTCTCTGAAATACAGCAGTTTCACCCATGTCAGCTTGGTGTCCCCATGTTACAAAATGTTCTAATATCAGCTATCCCTTCAGCATTTTTTTATCTTAAGCAGCGTAGAACCTCCATTTGTGGACTTCAGTGATGGCCTCAGAAATTAAAACAGTATTAGTTGTCCTATTAAAGGTACCAGCTATATCCCACAATGATCCCTGTATTCAGTTGCATATAATTGGCCCAGAAATAAACAAATAGGGATGAAATTTCTCATAACAGTGGTCAGCCTGAATCTGAATGTTTTGTTTGGTTGGTTTTAAACTTCATCCACCTTAACAAAACCTTGAGACCTTTTATTTACAGAGTTTTAGAGCAAAGGTATGGCAAAACGAGGTAGTCTTTTTATGGTTTTTTTTTTGCCATTTCTGTGACATCTATCCAAACTTACGTAAGACACATGAAAAATAATCATGAATTATCCAGGAGAAAACTGATTTACCTAGTTTAGTCTCCAGTGAAGGTGCCTTTACTGAACCTTTCTGGTGGCTCATAGGAGATGTTGCCAGTACCAGAAAAAGGAGCAGGGCAAATACAGAGCACCCAATTTAGATAGCAAGTTTTTGGGGATTCAAATGAACTAGCAAAACTCCTGCTCAATAACAGCAAGGTGCCATGTGAGTGTTTTAATTTCCATGGCTGCCCCTCAGCCATCTCACAGTTAATAAACAGTTATGTTTATTAAGTGGGCTGCATCACCTGCTGGTGTAAATCAGTGTAGTTGCACTGCAGTCCACAGAACTGTCCCCAGTTACATGAGCTGACGATTTGGCACCGATGGCATGAGAGGTGTATCAAATAACCATATAGCATACTGTTAGTAGATGCTGCTGTAGAGGTGGAACTGCTTTACTGGAGAAAGTACTTGCAGTCAGTCTGTAGCTGAAGATATCATCATCCTGACTTTACCTCACATTAGAAAAAAACTGCTCTTACCGCATCTGTGTATTTCATGGCCGGACTATGTTGTGTTCATTGAAAACACAAGCATTAGTTCACAGGTTCTTAGCATGCACAGGTAAATGTTTCTCTTCTTTTGGAGCTACCAAAGACAGCTTCACTCACTGGCTGTCTTTGGGTTAGTGTTTTGCTTTAATAATGACTTTGTTTATAAAGGAGACTGGAAAGGACAAATATATTGTCTTTAATGGGGGAGAAACAGAGAATACTGCCTTACAAATCAGCTGTCAGAAGGCGGTGAACTGAGCATTTATTTGGCTGACAGACATTTTGGGCTGTTCCATGTTGTGGAGCTCTGACTCTGGTACTAAAACACTTGAATTTAGAGGCCTCTCTCCATACACAAACAGACTAAGGAAGGACACGCTGCTTGTCCAAAGTAAGGACTGGTGGGTCAGGGCATTTTGCAGTACACTGCTTCTGAGGCAGTCAGCTCATATCCATGCCTGTCTTGGAGATCTGAAAATGCAGTAGCTGAAATTCCCTTGATTTATGTATGTTTTCAGAGGTTTCTGCATTATTTGAAGCTGGCACTTCCGTTACCTATATTTTCCAAGACCCTTATCCTGTCACAAAAAATGCAAGCACCTCAAGCTCTGCCATTTATGTGGATGCTGTCGTGTCCAAGGAAAATATCGCATTTAGCTTTCTCACAGCACATACTCCAAGCCTTCTGCTGTACATCAACACCTACTTTCATGAATATTTGGCTGTGATTCTCTCCAAAAATGGTAAGTAGTCTTGATTTGTTACCAAAGGGAGACCAGTGTAACTGTGTTAAGTTTTTTGTGAGAATAGCATAGAATTCTGCTCTGATTTAAATTAATTTCTGTGTCTGCAACTTTATCAACTTTGTGGTGTTCAGTTCATGCAAATGGCCATCACTCTTGTTTATGTCCCTTTATTTGGCATTCAGTGCTACACTTGCCTATTCAGTCTTTGAATAATCATGCTTAATCATGTTGTTGGGGTTTAAAATGTGCTTTGACTTTCATTTGGCAAGACTGTACAATAGCAATTCCTTGTTATTTATTCCACACTGAGATCCATTAGGCCTCCAAGAAAAGAGAATGCAAAATACCATGAATGTACAAGAACACTTGGTGGGGAAATATATTATAATCTTATCTTTCGCATTGTGTCTTGGCACACATATTGCTCTTCATGGGTTGTTTCAATGGAATATGGCCAGTACATCTGAATATTAAAGCCAGAAAATGTTACCGTTTTCTGGGTTCACTGACTAAAACATGAGGTGTAAATCCGTTTTCTATTAAAAGGTACATGGCATAGGGACTCTTTGAAAGCATGTTAAGATTTTAGGGGCATAAGGCCTATGTCTTCTCAGTAAGACTGATTCCCGAGTCTTTGCAGTGCTTTCAGAAAACTCTCTCCAGACAAACATCAAGCTAGACAAATGGGGATATTTGAATTATTCAAGAGTTATCAGGCACTGGAGCAGTGGAAGTGATGAGTAAGCATATTGGTGAGTCATTAGCCTGTGGCAGAAGAATAGAAAATGAATGCTATGTGGTTGAATATGTACATTTGACCAAATGACCCACAGCACTCTGAAGCCTTGCAAATTCCAAAATAGCTAAGCTTTCAAGTACTGTCAAATGAAACTAGTAAGGGGAGAAAGAAATAAAAAGTTTTATTCTCTATATGGGCTTTTCAGTAGTTTATTTCCTGGTTATATCATGTGTCTAGCATTCAGACTGGCACAAGATGAGTATCTAAATCCCTGAGAGGGGCAGCTGGGACATTATCAGCCTGGACCCATCTCCCCTAAGTGGAAGTCACAACAGGGCAGTGGAGCTACTGAGGAAATTCTCTCTCCTCTCCAATCCTAGATTTACATCTCTGATTTGCTCTCAGAGGCAAGTGCTTATGATTTTCAGATATATGAATATTCCAGTGCGTAGCTCCAGCGTGGCAGAGGTTAGGCCCTGCTGAGGTGAAACGTTTGAATGCTTCTTAGTTACACTCTGGTTTCTTGATGCCACTCAGGGAATCAAAAATAGCTCTAAAGTGAATGAAAATGTAACATCCATTCAAATCACCTTAACTGCTGCCAGAGTAACGTAAAATGACCTTAGAAACATGAGTCAATTGGCTTTTATTGATGAAATACAATCATAAGTAAGCTGTAATTGTGATATTCTGGAAGGAGGGACTCTAATGGTGATTGGGAAAGGGGTTGGGGTCAGGATACTGGGATCTCTTGTAGCAGTTCAGCAGGAGCAGAGGTAAGCCCTGCATTTTAACAGCTGTACCATCTGTAGATCTCCACTTTGGTTCTGAAGAAGATAGGGACTCTCAGTACTTCCAGAAATTAGGTGGAGCTACTCGCAGCACACTCAGGCAGTTTAAACAGTGGTGTTTTTCTCAGATCTGTACCTCTGTTTACTTGCTTGTAAAATGAAGATAACAGTAATTTAGGAGGTTGGTGAGATGTCAGGCTCTCAATCTCTGTACTATAACATGTAGCACTATATACAAAGAATTATTAAGATAGCTAGCTGACCTTGGTTAAATCCTCAGAGTTTCTTTCAGGGTTATTCTGTGAATGCTTCTGTGTCATTCTTTCAAGACAGTGATTTCAGTCATGTATATTCTCTGCCTTTTGTCGCAAATGTAATCACTTTTTTAAATCTCATATCTTCATATTTTTAGTCTTATTGGAATTGAAATTATTCCAATGAAAATAATGTTCAGATACGTTACTCTTTCTTCCTCTAAGAGGTTTATACTTGCCATAAAGTTACTGGACTATGAATGCCAATGTCCTTTGTAGCATTAAAAGTGAGTGCAATTTGTTCTCTCTTATTGGCTCATTTTCAAGGAATCTTGCGGAGTTTGACAGTATAGTAGGACCTAAGAAGGTCCCTGCTGGATAACTGATTGGTTAAATAAAGGTTAGGCTCCTGGTGAAATGGAAATGGGCATTCTCACTTAAGAGGTGAGCAGTAATATTCTTTGCCATACTCCCAAGACCCATTCCACTTGTTAAGAAACTGTATTAGAACAGTGTATGTATACCTTACTACTTTACCTTTCCTAGGTAGTTTTCAAGCTACTACTCATGTACCATGTTATTCCTCTTTTTTATTATCCACAAAATAGGCAAATTATTAGTTAATAAAAGTGACAATTAGAAGAATGTTTCTGGTAATTAAGACTTTCCATGTTAAATATTTAACATTAAAGAAGTGAAAGTGTCTGCAAGGCTTATTCATAGCTAGTCTATATGTAAAGGGGCTTATATGAAAGTGAACCTGAGTAGGCAGCTATGGTCTAATCCAGTCAGGCGTGAAATGTTTCCTGTAAAATCAATTGTTTTCAGTAAAATTAAGAAATAATCACATTTAACCCCAACACACTTTGCACTGTCTGTTAAGTAGATTATATCATTAGAAGATACAGTATGTATCGATTGAAACACTAGAATTGTGGTAACAAAGTGATTTATTTGGAGTTACCCAACAGGCCAGTGTCAGGCCTGGGAAAGGAAATAAAATTTCCTCATGCCCACTCATGGCTTCACCCACCCAAATCAATGCTGCTCACAGCAGAAAGCCCTTCCAGTCGTTGGAGCCTTAGAGGGCAGGTGGTTCATAAATGAAGTGATGACAGATGTTGGGTAACACCATATGTCAATGTAGAAGCTACAGTTCTATACCTCTGTATACGTCTGTATACAGATGACCTTCCCCTAGAAAATGAGAGACTTGGTAGTGCCTAGCAGCTAATACTTCTAGAAACAGTTCCCACCCAAAGAGCTTATCTATATCACAAGGTTATTCTTACCTTTGATCAACTGGATCATGTCCTGGCAGTTTATGGATAAGTTCTAGGAACTTGTTTTAAAGGTAATTTAGGGATTTTTCCCAAAATTAGTTAAAGCTTACACTTCTAAATCACACATATGCGTTTGAAAATTGTATGCAAAAACTTAGTATTGTCCTGTTTTCTGCAGTTTTGTCTGTTTTGTCCAGACAGGACAAACTTTTGTACCCATGGATTTTTAATTTGCACATATATATAATGTGTATGTATTAGATGTAGATGGGTATGTATATGTATATATAGATGAGCATGTATGTAAAGCTCACATAGTCCCACTGATCCCACATTAAAAAGATTAACAGTACTGTAGTAATTGGTAGTGTTAGTATAATATCAATGCTGTAGAAATTTCTAGTTATAGTATCAATTACCAAGGTACAGAAAATGGGTAAATGTCTCTAATTAGCCTTTTCAGTGTGTTAGTCCACAGAAGTTATTCACATCATGGGAAGCTACTGCCTAGAAGAAAATAGGTTAAATTTTCACCATACATTTTTGCATTATGTGATTTCACGAACCTACCAGTACCTTAGTATTAGTATCTTTGTCTTCATCCCTAAAGACAATAATTGACGGGGGAGAAAAATGTTAAGAAAGAAACTGTTAGTGCTTCTCCTTTCTTCATCTTCCTTCCCCCCTGCAAGTAATCAGGTAAGATATGAATATGACAAAGTGTATTGTCTAGAAAACGTTTTCCCAAGTCTGCGATTCTCAGTGTTGGCTTTCTCCATGAAGACAATATGACTCATAGTCTAGAAATCAGCAGATATACAGCATCAAATATCCTAACTGTGATTGAAAATTTATCTGTATATATTATCTGATCTCATGAGAAACTAAACAATTTGAGTCCTTTTCTTAATTTTTTTCTATCTACTACCTACTGCTGTCACAGTGAGCTCTGTTCTCCATTTCTTTTGGAAATCAAGACTCTGAAATTGGATAGGAGAGATTAAAGTCAAGTTAAAAAGGCACAGATTAAAAAAAAATGCAAATTACAACAGCTTGAGTAATTCTTTTGTTAGGACTGATACTCAGAATACAGTAGCAGGACGTAGATGAACTCCACTACCCTGTTCTGTAAAGGTCAGCTGATATCAGCTGATAACTAAAACAAACAGGAAAAGAAAGCAAAACCTGTAATAGAGGTAAGCTGAGTTAATACTCTGCAAAAAAAGAAGGAAATGACATCAGTGAGAAGGTACTAATGTTGGTTTTTATTTCTAATAAACTAGAAATCTACTGTAATCTCCTTCTGTCTCTAAGTCAGAAGCAGACTTGCTGTTGAACATGTGAATTATTCTTACTGGTTTTGGCTTGCAAGTCTGTTAGAATCATAGAATCATAGAATAGTTAAGGTTGGAAAGGACCTTAAGATCATGAAGTTCCAACCCCCCTGCCATGGGCAGGGACACCTCACTAAACCATATCACCCAAGGCCTCGTCCAACCTGGTCTTGAACACTGACAGGGATGGAGCATTCACAACCTCCCTGGGCAAACTATTCCAGTCCCTCACCAACCTAACAGTAAAGAACTTCTTCCTTATATCCAATCTAAACTTCCTCTGGTTAAGTTTTAACCCGTTACCCCTTGTCCTGTCACTACAGTCCCTAAGGAAGAGTCCCTCCCCAGCATCCCTATAGGACCCTTCAGATACTGGAAGGCTGCTATGAGGTCTCCACGCACCCTTTTCTTCTCCAGGCTGAACGGCCCGAACTTTCTCAGCCTATCTTCATACAGGAGGTGCTCCAGTCCCCTGATCATCCTCCTGGCCCTCCTCTGGACTTGTTCCAACAGTTCCATGTCCTTTTCATGTTGAGGACACCAGAACTGCACACAATACTCCAAGTGAGGTCTCACAAGAGCAGAGTAAAGGGGCA